CTCAACAAGTTTTCAGTCCTCATTGGTGGTTGAAGTAGTTGGGCATTTCTATTTCCATGGTTATCAGGATTTCAAATGCCTAACTTTGACACTTATTTCCACTCGGAAAAATGGCGCAATACATTCTTCCTACACAGCTGTATTTAACTATGTAATGAGCAATTAGGGTTTTAAATGAAGGTTACAGTTTTTCAAAAGTTTTAAATTTTGTCTTTTGAAAGTTGATAAAACAATAACTGATCTTCAGCAATGTTTTGTTTTCGTCCGCCTTTTTTAGGATTAAGAGTAAGACTTAAAGAAAGGGAAAAACAGTCTGTAGGCGAACCACTTTATAAAACCCTCAGCTTTCTTTAAAAAGTAAGTTTTAAAAGTATTTTCTTCTTAAAACTCAAATAAACGTGATCGTAAAAAGTTTTGTTTTTGTTAACTTTATTGCTCGGCGTTTCTTTGACCTACATTGAAAAAGTAATCGACTTGACTTGGAATGCAGCAAAATCAAGACTTATAAGTGATGATTCTCTCTATCTACGTCTGCTTCGACATTTCCAGGGGTGGGGAAATCATTCAATTTACTGTTAAAAATTAAACTGATGTTCCTTCAAAATATTTTATATGTAAATTATTGATCTTAATTTTTAAAAGTAGTTTAAGTTTTGCTTTCGGTATCTACAGATACGTGTGAGTGTAAATCTTTGTTAATGCTTGGGATTGGGAAATTTAAGAAATCACCTGATCGAAACGATAAAACTTTACCATAAAAAGTTTTTGGCTTAAAAAAAATAATTTTCACCAGTAATCTAAAATTTTTTTTACATTTTTAACCTTTTCTTCTAAAAAGCAGTCCAAAGTACGTCACTGGTAACGAGCTTTATTTTTCGCATAAATCCGATGTACCTAAAAATTTGTTTTCTAAAGTTCTAGCAAGATTTTTTACGTGATCTAATTTTTTTCTGTTTTTTTTTTTCTTTTTTTTTTCCCATTCCTAATTTTCGTTTTAATCAAGCTTAAAAGAAACTGATGTCTTTTTAAAGCAAAATCTTTATTAACGCAAGTTTTCTTTACAACTACTTGACCAAATACTTGATAAATTCGGTTCACTCACTGATCAAATGAGAAAGAATACAGTCGTCGAAAAGATCTGTGTCTAGTGTAAAATTTCTTTCTCACATTTTTCCATAAGTTTGATACATTTTGGAATGGAATGGTTTCTTCAAACTGACCACACTCCGAAAGGCGCATTGTGACATTTGAAAATTTTATTGGCAAAAACTTTTAAAAGAACAATTACAAATGATTTTTTTAACTTTCTTTATATTTCTCAAGCAAGAATAAACATTAAAAACTATCTCTTTCTGGATTTAAAAATGAATTAAAAACAAATATGAAAAATGACAATCTTTATGACCAGACAAATTTTCTTTCACACCTTGCGGTATGGCATTTTTATTTTTTTTATTAAAATCAAAATATATATGAAATTTTCCATTAAATATAATTTTAAATTATTCCGAATGGTTACTAATCATTTTTAGCATCAGTCTTACTCTTAAGAATCTACCAATGCGATTTCAATTTTTCCCCTTTTGAATTTTTTGAATATTACTTTTGTTTAATGTTAGTAAGTTATTAAAACAGTGCATGAACATTGGAGATTTTATTTTTTTTAATCAACAGTTTAAAGCAAAAATAATAAACTCCTATCTTTTTTTAACTTTAGGTTTTTTTCATTTTCTTCATCTTTTTAAATGGATAGTTTCTACTTCATTGTAAATATTTTAAAATTTTTAACATATTTATTAGAGCATTAAAAGACACTTCATAACAAAAAAAAGTGCTAACCAAAAATAGACAAAATTAAAGGCTAATTACTTTTAAGTCTACCAACCACTCTTTGCTTATAGAGATGGTTGGTCGCACTTAATGAATACTGATTCCAAAAACTACAAATGATAATTGGTATTAGCCTTACTCAGCATCTGGACAAACTACTGGTTTTTAATGAGATGTTCAGTTATTGCTGAACATGATACATTAATACACCTATGTAAATTGTCCATTGCAAATATTAGCTAGTACATGTTGGTTGATTTATGCTTCCAACCTGTTCTGTCTACATAGCATTGCACTAATATTTGAACTTGTAAATTGAAGAACATCTCTCCAGACAAGTTGGTAACCCAAAAAGGTGAAACATGAAAATCTTACTTCAAATCTTAAGTATGTTACATGAAATATTTTAACTTGAAAAGACATGTTTAGGTTGTTGGTTATTATTCTATTGCTAATAATAGCTATATTAATATAATCATATTAATTAACCTTTTCAGGACTTCAAATAAACACTTTATCATTCAAAGAATATGTGGTCTCATTTCTTTACTTGTAAAATCCTGTATCTTTGTAAGCAATTTTAAAACTTTTTTATACAACTCTGGATTGAATTTACAGATGACAAAGAATCAGACTGTATCCCATAAGAAAAACAAGATACATATTTGGAATTTCCCCATGAAGAACACTGATGTAAAGGAATAAAAAAAAAATGTACCTGTGGATGGAACAAAGAATTGTTTCCTGGAAGTTTATCAAATGTCTACGGAAGACTATAGAACATAACTACCAAAACATGACAAAGGGCCTGGTCAGAAATTATAGATGTAAATCAATAACCATCTCTGTCAGTTTCTCTTTCTATTATATATCTGCTATAAAAGCAAAACAAATTTGTAAGTGGATAAAGTAGATTGTTGCCCTTACAAGCATGTTATACTTGTATTCAGATGCATATTATTAATGAAACAAAAATATTGCATAGAAATATGAGTTAATGAATAATTTTCTTTTCTTTCTATGTACTTACAAAATATTTTAATGAGAACAAAAGTAGAGATGAATACTAATGGCAACGGAAGTGGTTAAATTAAATTGCAAAAAATAGCTGTAAAAGATTTACAATAAAAAAAATTATTTGTTACTAATTTTAGGTTTGTAGTTTTTTTTTTTTTTTTTTGCAAAACCTTTTTTAATCATTTAACCCCAAGCAAGGTGGGAATGCCGCAATATACAGGGGGTTACAGGGAGAGAAAAGATTGAGTATAGGGAGGATTGAGGAATGGACAAAAAATGAACGGGATTCAAGAAGATAGATGTTAATTGACATTGCATTTAAATTTTTGAAGATTGTAGTTATCAGGGAAGTAATTGGAAGAGAGTTCCACAAGTGGGAAGTGCAAGGAAAGAAACTGTTGGACTGTTCCTCTGCTTCTCTCCAATATAAAGCTTTGACTTTTTTTTTTGTTTTTTTTTACAGTAGTTAAAGATTACTATTTCTTACAAGCTGTTACATTAATATCACTAAGTTGTAAGTGCCTCTGAGCAAATTGATTTTAAATGAAAGTTTGCATATTTTTGATAATTTTAAACAGAAACATCTAGTTGTAAATATCCTGCTAAATTAGGAGCTCAGATGCTTATTTCATCAGGATATTTGGAGTAAGTCTGTTTATACAGTTTTCTTTTTAAACATGACTTCTGTCTGAATCTGAAAAAAAATTAAAACAATACACATTAATGATGAAAATTAATTTCCCACACCCAGCATTTTGTGGGTTTAGAAATTATTCAATAGAATTTTTATATTTTTACATGCAAATAACCTCATGAATTTCCATTGTTTGCTTTAAAAAGTTTTTATCTCCATCTCTTCTAGTTTTGTGATCCCCCACTTTTTTTAAAGAAGAATCTTCATTCTGATGTTTATATTCATATTGACTAGTAAGTATCAAAGCAATTAATTTTTTTCTTACAATTCTTCTGTTTTCAATTTTATGAGAATGTAGAAATAGATTTGAAATAATTGTCCTTTCCAAATTAATTTACTTACTAACTATATATTATCAGATGTTTCTTTTATATTTATTTTTTTTCTTGCATTATGATAAAAATAAAGAATTTAATATCAATAATATTTTATTTTTTATAGTAGGATTCATTGGAATAAAAACTACCATTTTGCTTTTGTTGACACATACATTCTAAGTTGGGTTTATTAGAATATATTTATCAATGACTGGCTGGCCTTTTAACATTCATGGTATAAATACCTTATGCAAAATCGATTGTTTTTTTGAATTTGAGCATAAAGAAAGAAAAATTTGAAAGGAAAAAAAAAAAGAAAAATTGTTTACTTATTTAAAAATGAAAAATTGTGTACTTATTTTAAATATTGTTTACCTCCTAAAAAAGTGTTTACCATTAAGAAATATTTAAAAAAAAAAAATTGTTTACTTATTAAAAAGAAAAAAAATTACTATGTGTGTGTATATATATATATATATCTCATTTTATTCCATATGCATGCATTGCATTAACTTTAGAAGTTGTTCAATTCTGAAATTGACTTCAATTGGAATACTTTAGTAATACAGATCCTAATATGAGTTTCATAAGTTCATGATTTTGTTATTAGTGTGTAATGAAGCTAATGTGCTGATCTTTGATATTTAACATTACATTTTATTCACTCCAATACTTTGAGTCACTCTCGGCCAGCCCCATGACCTTGTCTGACACATGAACCTTAATTCTCCTGTGATGACTGAGACCGCCACCCCTTCTCTGGAGGAGTCTTTTATATATCTATATATTCACTGTTTTTTCTCATATGTAGACTTATTCAGAGGTTTTAACCTCTACAGTTGACACTGGCAAATGAGTGAATTACAGATTTCCCCTTCCCAAACTGAGGTTATCTTGGACCAACTCTGCACTTGGCTTTCTTTGATGGTCTGGTGTGAAACTGAGGCCAGGCTTATTCCAATTGTTATATTGTGGTTATTTCTCTTTTATAAACAGCTGCTTTTTATAATATTTATTTTATTCATATTTTTTTCTTTTACTTTTCCTCACCAAGGTTTTTGAGATAGAACACAATCAAAATGTCTACCACTCCATTAGTAAACTGCGGACTACAGCTTACAACAACTACGGAGCTTCCTCCAATGGAGAAATCTCTCTCTCCTATTGGTGAGATGGAAATGTCTGTTGTAACAACTGCAACAGACTTGCCCTCTGGCACTGATACCAATACCATCTCCACTACGACCACAACTAGCTGTGACATCTGTGGAAAAGGTTTCTCCCGTGCAGATAACTTAGAAAGACACAAGGCCAGCCATCTCCAAGGAACTAAACTCTATACATGTGAAATCTGCTGGAAGTCTTTCTCTCGACGATCCTATTTGAAACTCCATCAACGCATTCACAGTGGAGAGAAACCCTTTGAATGTGAGGTGTGTGGCTATGCCTTCAGTCGTCATGACCATCTTGTTATTCATTTACGGACACATCAAGGTCTGAAACTTTTTACCTGCGATCTCTGTGGAAAAGCATTCAGTCGCCGATACTATCTAAAGGTGCATCGTCGGATCCATACAGGAGAACGTCCATTTAAGTGCAACTTATGTGGCTATGCCTTTAGCCGCAGTGACCACTTACTGAAGCACAAACGTCCAAATAAGGGCCTGCGGAAACTAAGTTGTGTCCCCCAACCACACCTCACTGATGAAGATGTTGCAGCTGCCACTGTGGTTGAAGATCCTACAGCTCTACCTGAACATCAGGACCTGGGAATCAGCATCGGAGTTGTTACAAATGCAGATGATATTACCAATGGTCAAACTCAGATTACAGAGACAGCTGTCAATGAGCTCACAGTTAATGAGATCAGTGTTGACCATGTCAACTTCTTGCACAGTGCCGGAGTTGAGGTAACTCTCCAACCTCAAGTGACCTTAGATGGTCAACACATAGCAGTTGCTGTCCATCCACAAGTTGACTTGGGTAATCATACAAATATCTTGCACTTTGCAAATGTGTCTCATCAGATTGACGTGCATACTACCTAAAGAGGTTTTGTTAGGTAGTGAGTGAATAGTAAAGTATAATATGTATTTTTTTAATTCCAAAATTGTTCTTTGTATACAGTTTAACATTTCAACCAATCCATTCTTCAGCTCTTGTCAGATGATGTCTTTTTTTTTCTCCATGAAAAAAGTGTTACTGATAAACACTGAATAATGGATTAACCAAAATATTAATGATATCAAGTATGCAAAGGAGGAGTTCAACTGTCTGTATAATATTTGGAATGTTAATGCCTCTCTCTCAAAGTTACAATCATATTTTTTTTTCAAATCCCATCCTCTACACCAAACTGATACATGGACATATCTACAAACAGATACACTAGGGAACTGATGAGGATATTGACTCTCAACTGAGTATTTTGTATTTTAATTTTTTAGTTAATTTTACAAACAAAATTATCTGAAAAATAAAATTGTATTGTGATAATACAATTAGTTCCTCTAAAAACTTAAGACAAAAAAATTCAGTTGTAAGCAAATGAAAGATGAAACTAAAATTATGAAATTGATTGCTTACAAATATGAATAAAAAAACAGGCATTTAAATTGAAGATGATACAAAATAACTTTTAAATACACAAAATAGGACAAATGTAAAATCATTTAAGGATCATTGTGTGTGTTCTGCAAACACATGTATAAGCATATGTTAAGAGATGAAAGAATTTGCAGTAAAACAAGTGCATGCATATTACAAAAATTAAAAATTGGATAAACTTTTATAGGTGCTTATGCTTAAGTATATTTTGCTTAGACACAATGTATCTGTATAAATTAGGAGAAAGTAATTTAAAATTTCAGAAAACTGTAATAGTTTTATGCGCAATATCCTGTTTTTTCTTATATGCACATATACAAGCACATTAAAATGAAAATGTCACTTTTCTTTGTTTAATAGTTTAAATTTATATTCACTATATCTGAAAGCTGTTACATCGATAAATATAAAAACAATTTACAATATATAGTATCTAAATGAAAAAATATGTAATATACAAATATTTGAATAAAACTCTAATTTGCAACCAAACTCTGCTAAAATAGCCTAATATTGATGGTTTTTAATGCTTCAAGTGTCCATTATTCTCACCACCTATTAATACACTCTGAACTTGTTAAACTAACTCGGTGAAAGCTATTTCAACCTCCAATGTCTCAGTTTTGCCCAAAGCTATCACAGTGAATGTCATAGCAAAAGGTTACCAAAGACATGGTGTCCTTGTGGGGCATTTATTTTTTTATTTTCTTTAATATTATATTAATCCAGCTCATTACTAGTCATGTCCAGGTGATGTATTTTGTAAGTATTTACCCAATATCCCTTGACTAAATAAGGAAATAAAAGTATTTTTTGGCCATACTTTTCTCTCTCTGCAAGAATACTTGTCATATTCATGCTAGCAAGTGACACACTTATTTTTCCCTATGTTTGAAAGCAGTAACTTTTTTTTTTTTTTGCATTTGCCTCTTGGTGACAAAATCGTATCCATGTCAACTTTTTTCATAAAGATTGTGAATACTATTTTTCTACATTTTTCTCTCAAACCTCAGATTTCATAATTCTGATATAATCTTTTAGCTTCTTAAATGCACTGAGCATTCTTCAATTATGGTATTAGATACCAGTCTGAACACTTCCAATTTGTTTACCTTCCTTGGGACATTGAAAAATTTTTTGGTTTGGTTTATCATGTTGTCCCAGGAAGCTTAAGCTCTTTTTGATATATATTGTTTACAGTATGTAACTTTGATGATCCAAAATTGCCTTTCAAAACCCCATGACTGATGAAACTTTTTTAACAAAGAAATAATTCTAGATATTTTATGCTTGACATTAAAAAAAAAATATGAAGAAACATTCATTTGCTATCTTCTTGCCTTAAAACTACAAATTTATTTAACATAATTGGTCAGATTTCTGGATCTGCTGTATCTGAGTATAGATTTTAAGATTGGTGCAGTTTTTATTTTACTTTTTAAAGATATTTGTTTACATATTTAGCATGAAAAAGAATATTTTTTAATAATAAACACCTACTACATTAAAAAAAACAACTTTAAATGGAAGTGATAAAAGCAATGTAAGCAAATATATTTAACTCAGAATAGTTGAGGGAAATCATTGGATATAGCCAATCCAGTCATCAAAATTTTCTTTTTACAAATAACAAAACTTGGAAACTTTAGCATAAAAAAAAATCTCGGTGAATAGTAATTTTGTGACTTCACATTAAATGTGCTTTTTTTTCTAACAAATATCAGATGTTATAATGAACAGCATACTAAAATTTTTAAATATGGAGACTATATCCAAAGGAACTTATTTTGCTTAATATAAATTGTGTATAAATGTCGAGATCAAACACAATTTACAATCATTAAATGAATATGACTGACTGAATAAATGAATAGCTGGCCTTAATTTGTCAGATGATCACAGTTGCAAAATAAATATGCACAATTTCCAAATTTACAGCAGTATTAGAAATATTCATTAAAATGTTATAAAGCTGAGAAATAGTAAATAAAATAAATTTCTATTTATTCTATTGAGATAATGTGCATTTACTGGCGCTGACTCTCCTGTTCCAACAAAGACCCCTTAGGGGCTAAAATGTAGTATAATGTGCAGAGGACTCTCTCACCAGTCAGTACCTCTTCTATGGAGATGGTTAGAGTTAATTCCTGATGGTTGTGGCATCCTCAAAGAGGAAATATCAAGGGAGCGTATAAAATCATAATAAAATTTTTGCAGTTTTGAGTTTTCAAAAATGACCTGACTAAAATGACAAGTGTTTGAAAATATTCATAATTTTGAGATATATAGATTTCGTACATTAAATAAAACCACCTATTTCCCGTGGTCAGTCATATTCTTAAAAATTTTTTCCCAAGTGATAAGCATTTAATCTAGGTTATTCTTTACTTCAGGAGCACCTCAAACCCACTCCCCATCCCCTCACTCATTACCTGTACCTGATGATTTCCTGATTATCTGTCACTCTTTTGCAAAATTTAATTCTTGATCACCTGTGAAAAATCGTCCATTGGATATATTCAGCATTACCCAAGTGTTGTGATTCTCATTTCCAACTGACAACTGTTGACTTATGATTTACTAAGCATACCTTAGATGTGGCACAAGGCTGCAAGTATGAAGCACCCAGTGAGGATCAAACTCAATACTCAGCTGCAACTGATCTAGTGGGACAAGCTTGCTAATCATTACATCCTGTCAAAGTGCTCCTACTGACTTTTATGACAACAAAATTTGTTTGATCAGGCTTAATTGCTTGTCAGATGTGCTTTTAAACTTGTAAATAAAACACCTCAAAAATAAAACAATTGCTGGATTTTAAAAAAATTATTAAAATATATAATACTTTATGCTAAATTTTATATTTTGAAAATATATTTCAAGGTGTATTTAATATTCTCAATTCAACTGCTTATAAACAAATTCATCTTTCTGCTATTTTTCTCTTCAATATCTATTTTGGACTATGTTTATATTACAATATTTTGACAAATGCATTCTTCACTCATCAATGGTCATAATATTTAAAAGAAACATGTTTGTTTAAAATTCAATTATTTCAATATTTTTGCAGTCAATTAATTTAATTATGACTAAACAATTCTTAGTTACAGGTTTTATTGTATTAAAGATCACAAAATTCATTAAGTGCTTTTAACTTCACAATATGACAACTCGCTCTCTTTCTTTTTTTTTTTTTTTTTTTTTTAGTTTAATTATCTATGGATAATTAAGAAGTGGGTGTTCTTTCAAAATGCCCATTTCCACTTTTCACCAAAACAAATCCTATGTTGTTGATATTACACCTGATCCAACTTCTTAATTTCTTCCAATCCATCCATTTTTCTGTTTGTCTTGTTCTTCAAGAATTTTAAATCTTTGCCCAAACTGAAATCTTAGTTTGGATTCCAAATAGGGAAAATTTGTCTTATATTCATTTTCAACCAATATTATTATTGCATAAATTGTTCTATGCCAAATTGTTAACCATGTAAGATCAATTTTATTTTCATTTTAACCATTGAACCAAAAAATGGTACCATTTAAAGTAATTCATGGTGTGTTATGCCAAATCATTGAGTAGTTGATGTCATAGCTTACTTTTAATGGCTGAAAATCATAGAAATACTGAGTTCATTTTCATTAAACATTTAAACTAGTGGCTCCTATTCAATATTTTTCACAATATTATTTACATATTATTGACAGTTTTTTTATATTGAAAAATAGAATTTTTCAAAATTATTTAATTACAAATTTCTCAACTTTTCAAAATAAATGCATTAAATGTTGCCGGATGACTAGAAAAATACAATTTTAAACAAGTTTTTAGCATTTGAAAGCAATATCGCTAAAATTATTGATCCCTTATAGTGACAGTGTTTTTTTTGTTTTTTTTTAATATAAATTTGTGCAACAACATTGCACGTCACCAGTGGCAATACAGTGCATCTGATAAGTGGTTATTCTGAAGTTAAAAAGAGCAGATTATTCTTGTACAATATTTTAAAATATCTAAAGGCCAGTATTTCATTTTTCGTCCATCAAAATTCTCCTAAAAAATTAAAATATTGCCCAATAATAGCAGCATAAACTTATTTTTCTTGCTCGTATTAATACCACTTCTTGTACTGTTATTATTAATATTATTATTGCACAGTCATCCATTTTTAAATAGCAAACAGTTTATGAAAATGACTACTACAGCAGGGGTTTTTTTTTTGTTTTTTGCACTAAACACTTTCTAGTTTTAGTAAATTAAATTCCTTTAATGATGCTTTTCTTGCTTAAAATGTTCCTGACAATCTGAAAAAAAAGTTGTATATTTATTAAACAATCTATTACTATTTTATAAATGGTTTGGTTAAAAAGAATTGAAATCATTCATTTTCCTATAAATAAAACTTATTTTATGCATGTTTGATTTGGCTAAATAGAATTT